TTATGATTAAGATACATAATTTTTAGAGGTCCCTAGAGGACATCTGGACTGTTTATCAGTGTCCCTCTTTCTTGGCCACCCAGAAATCAAAATGATGTATCCTCAGCATAGCACCCTTTTCAGTTGTTCGGCTGCTCAAGGTCTTGGTTATAATAACCTCCCCCATCCATTTACTCACATGTTCACCCTTTCTGTGAACATAATTTCAATAGCCGTTTCAACGTTCATGTCTGCTAATCCCACTGTCTGAATTATCTGAAGACTGTTTCTTTTGACTACTTTATGTTCTGATGATGGTTTACATTTTCCCACATTTTTACACTTAAAGCATGTGTGTTTTTTGTTGTATGTTCAGTCTTGTGACTGTGTCATCCACATGTTTAATCCACATAGATTTATGTTCCAACAATGACACATTTGTATATAAGAGTCATAAAGTTTCAAATGTTTGCTCAAACCCCCATAACGAAGATGCTCCAGAGACCAACTTCACACCCAAATGTATTTACTTTTTCACCCAAGTAATAACCCTTAAGGACTTCAATATGCTGGCTGTTCTGTTCACATATGCCTTATGCTGCTGTTATTAAGGATACACACTGACGACATACATGTCCCAAAATGGTTGTCAAAATGATTTTCCTCCCTAATATTCTCCTTCAGAGATGCTTGAGGCAAAGACAGAAAAGACCAGAAAAGACTAGGAAACCTAGAGAGGCTTATTATCAGGAAGATTTTCCCAAAGAGAGAAGGAAGATGTCAAAATGAAGAGTCCTGGTTCCTACAGAAGTTGACTTCCTCTCCAGTATCTCCACTGGTGCCCAGAATGAGCCCAGGCATCTTATTCTCGGTTGGCACTTGAATTTCCTTTGTTGGAATAATTGGAATAACATTGACCTCATGAGATTATTTTAAGGATTAGATGAGATAAATTGGGCCAGACTTTGGGTTTAAATTGTGATTTGGTACATTTCTGATTCTCAGTTTGCTCATCTGTAAAATGGGGATGGCATTGACCACCGCATGTGGAAATAGGGCAGTTGAGCTGAAATAATCATGTAAAATGACCAGTCCAGAGCCTGCTATACAGTCGCCATATAATGAAATACCAGGGCTTTTTGCTTAACATTAATTTGTTTTAATGTGCTCTTACACAGATGCATCATGTTCTCATTTTCTGAAGCTTTAGGGCAAAAAAGCACTGCTCCATTTAATTTATCTTCTCTCCCACACACACAGACCCACCCTCCTCCCAACCGTTTTCCTTTCTCTATTTTCTTTCTGCTCTAGGCTCAAGTGGATTAACTACTTCTGAGCATTAGAGACTGAGATGAATCCTCCAGAAGAAATCTCCTTGCAGATGGTCCGGAGCCACACTGATTAGAATGCTTACTGTTCCAGCACGAAGACACGTTTAGAGGTGAGAAAGATAAAAACATTTCTTTCTTAAGCTGAGGATTTCCCAGAAGGTAATAAGAAAAGAGTCTAAATCAAAGTTTAAAAAAAAATGAATACATTATCTGTTTGATGTTTACCCATTGGCGGGTCTTCTAAGTTAAGAAGAAAATAATGTCTTTGAGGAGGTTCACATTTAAAATCAGTTATGAACAAAATCCGATGGCACTGAGTGTTTGCATTAGATAAGCTCCCCAAAGCCTGATTCTCAGAGTCAAAGATTTTACATTTCCATTAGTTTTCCTTTCTACCATTCTACCAATGTAATAAAGAGTGTTGGGCCAAGAGAGAGCTGGACAGCTGCTTATTAACTTTGCAACCTTGAGCAGCGCCTGAAAACGATGTGTGGACATCCTGTTTATTTGTTAAGTAACAGATAATAGTTACAAGCATGCCTTCTCTTCTGTTCCTACTGTTCCTGAACTGTTTCAGGTCCTCAATGTTACTTCTCAGGGCAACGTCCAAAACTAGCCTTCCTGCAGTCTTACCGTTTCTGGCCAACTCTTCACATTGCTCCTGGAATTAGTTTTTGTTGAACAAAGATACGATATATATATATTTTTAACATCTTTGACCCTTGACTATGGCAGAGAGCTTCTTAAACTGCCTCATGTCTGCCAGAACCAGTCATTATAAACAGGATCCTGTGGTATTTAAGGATAAAATTTGTATTCGTTGCTCTGTCAGTTAAATGCTCATCAAATTCCGATGTGTGAGGTGATACATGTCTTCCTTTAAGTTAAATTGAGGGCAAGTGACTCACTCCAACTAATGAACGTCTGCCACCAGGGTTGCTCCGAGGCAGTGCACTTCCTCCTCTCCTACTTCAGTGACCTGGAGGACTGTGAGACCTTGTGGACCTAAGTACAAAAAGAAAGAAAGATGTTTGCCCTATATTGTTCTTGGTGGGAGTGAGAAATAAACCATGGTTGTGTTACATCACTGAACACTGGAGGCCTCTTTGTTTTCACAGTACAGCATAGCATAGCCTGACTAATGAAGTTGCTATTATTTTAAAATGAAAAAGATTCACAGAAAAACCTTGATTCCTAGCTTTAATGAAAAGCTAGAAAAATCTCTGACTCTGGGTTTCAACACTTGGAAGGCAGCAATCTGCTAGATCAACTGGGATCTGTGCTCTCTCATTCCCCACTCTCTTCTCCCTTCTCTTATTTTCATTATCTGCTCAACTATATGTATTTGAGTTTGTGGCCCCTGGTCTGCAGAATACAGTTCAAACCCCCTAAGGTGGCTTAATGGGCCTTTCCTGCTTTGGGCTTATTTGTCCCCGCAGCCTTAAAAGACAAGCCCTAAGGCACCAGCAATATTGCATCATTGGAGGTTGCTCAAAGATTTCACTACATTCATTGCTTCTGGTATTTTAAATATTCTGGTCTTTCTGCCTGTCAGCCTTGCTGTATTATTCATTTTTTAATATCCAACTCCTATTTTACCTCTTTGGGAAATCTCTCCAATGCCAGTCTCATATTTCTCCCCAAAGATTTCTCCATTCTAACACTTAACCTTTTGTTCTGTCTAATTTATCCTTTAATTCCCAAACCCCAGTACAGTGCCTGGCACAGTAAAGGTGCACAGTCCATGCTAATGGGGTGGCTGCTAAAGAATGAGATTTATTTTTCAAATCTCAAAGCAATGTGTGCCCATGTTAACAATTCAAATAATACAGAAAAGCTCATGGTGGAACGAACACTCCCCCTCCTCACTCGTAGTGCCACTACCCAGAAACAGCCTTTTTCATACCATTTCTGCCTGTATGTATTCTGTTGGTGGCCTGCGTTACCTTAAGTACGTCGTATGAAACTGTGTTTCCTGATTTATTGTTTTCCTCCCTTCTCACGCTGTCCTCGTCCCAGCATTTGATAGTGCTGTTGCTTTATGGGTGGTCAGTTGCCTTTATAACTTTAATGATAAGCTCACATTCCTTTTTTCTTTTTTTCTGTTCCTTTTGATAGTGTCTCTTAAAGTTAGCTTCTCCTTTCCTGACTGCCACGTCTCCCTCCCACCCCCATAGCCTCATTCTGGAGGCAACACTGTATGCTGACAAGGATGTTCCTATTCATATTGTATTTTTCACCCTGATCAGGTCTTCCCTGATTATTCATTCAGCTCAGTTTCTTCGTTCTTATCGCAAAACCAGATGCTCCTCCCCTAAACATTCTTACTCTTATCTCTCCACCCCCCACCATCCACATGTCCTTCCCAGCCAATCCCTATCTGACCTGTCCTTCAAAAGCAAGGAAAAGCCCTCTTCTGCTGTAAAAGTTTCCAGCCAGATCTGTTTTTTTTTTTCTCTTCTCATCCTCCTTTCTCTACTATTTCCTAAATCAATGAAAGCATGGCTGCTGAACGCTGAGTCAGGGAATGTCCCAGGCACTCTGTGTACGAAAAGAAGTATAGTCTTATAAGCTCGGTAAATCAGGAGTCAACATTTTTCTTTGCAGACACATATTAGACTTAATGGGATGAATTAGTAAATCTAGAAATGGACCTGTTTTTGAGCCAAGCCTATCATTTTTATAATAGTGTAGCATTTTTGAAGCATAATTCTGTAGTTCTTACAATTTGGAGCTGTCAGGCTCACTGAGGAAGCAGCCACTTTAAGGGAGGGCTGGATAATCAGAACCACTTTAATGCTTAGTGTAATTAGCCCAGCACTGGAAGGTCGGAGTCTCAGTTTCCTGACCCCAGAACTACCAGTTGTTGGCTGGACAACATCAAATGCATGGACTTAACTCTCTGAACTTCTTCAATACTTGAGAAGTTTGGGTGAAATCATTTTCAAGATCTTTTTCAGTCTTAATCCCCAGTAATGAGTGATGTCACTCCCCTGGTAAAGATGCTATAGTTATAGTCTCTTTATTCGTTTCTGCTGTCAGAGTCATCTGTGGTACCCAGCAGTGGAGGGACTTCTGGTGACTTTCTTAATGAATATCTGCTTTTTAATCTGCCTCGCATTTATGCTCTGTCCTTTCTGTAACCTAACTCTGATTTTCCATGGAGACATAGCCAGGCTATCTGCATATGTTGATGGGTATGGACCAATCTGAGTGACTCACTACTTTTCAAGAGCTCTCGAGAAGAGACCTCTTGGACTGGAACCAATACCCAGACTACAGAGCTGAAAGATGGCTTAAAACCCATGTCCTCATGTCATCAGTCTTGACTTCTCTTGAAAGCAGAGCCCGAGATGAGAACCTGTTTATTCGAGATGTTCTTCCAGGAAGGAGTGAGGAAGTAGGGAGTATAAGTAGGAAGAAAAAGAAAAGCCCATGTAAGGGTTCGTTTTCATATTTCAGCACCATGCTCGTCAGGGCTCACGCCTGCACACTCTCTGACCCAGAGCCTTCTCCGGTGCTGCAGGAGCCTCCTCAGCCTGCGTGCAAGTCAGCCCAGGTGTGTGGGGGACTCAGCACACTCAGGGGAAAACTGCAACCAAGGCAGGGCAGGGTCTTGTAGGTGAACACTCTAGCCTCCTCACCTTTCAGTGGACAAGTCTGAGGGGCATGATTGTGTTCTCACAGTCTTGATATATAGAGCCGGATCTCTGGATATAGACAGAGATTAGGGTATCATATACATGAAGGTGAGGATTGAAAGTGTGTGATGGGTGAGACCCTCCACCCCCACCCATGGAGAGATGGCAAGGTGAGCCCACAAAGACATACATAACCAGAGATGTATTAAAAGTTCTTGGAAGTCATTGAATGAAAGTTGATGTGCTTGGGAAAAGTAATCCAAATTAGATGTATAAGATGATAGATTTTAAGAAATGAGGTCCTGTTCTTTGAAGGTTTCATCCCAATGAACTCCAGGTCAAAGCGGTCCCTAAAACAGACATAAAACAAAGCAGGGAATGACACCAAAATTTCTCCTATGTGATGGGCTATGCACTTTGCAGCTGGACCTTAACAAGAGTGTAATAGAGCAGAAGGACACAAAGAGAGAGACTGGATGTGCTCCGAGTGTTTACTCTGTGCCAGGCATCATGCATACCGTTTGCCACTTTATCTTGGGGCCACCGCATGAGATAGGTGCTGTTGTCATATCCCTTTAAATGTAAAGCAAAAGAGACTCAGAGAACTTAAACAGCTACCCACAATCACATGGCTAGCAAGTGACAGAACCCAGGTCTTCCCAATGCTAAAATCTTTACTATCTCCACTATGAGGATTATGCTGTATAGTCTTTGTTACCATATACTACACTTTCTTAAAGAACAATAATTTGTATACGTGTTTTATCCCCTACACATGTGATCAATGGCAGATTCCAAACTTATTTTCTAATTATGAATTATGCAACATAGCATAGTGAATTATGAGTAAAATTTGCTTAATAATTGCCTATGAGGAAGAAAATTTCTATTGAATAAATGTTGGCTAGATCATAGATTGACCCCTCCTGATTCTAATAATTAGGGTTGTTGTTAAGCAGATTATTTATTCCTCTCATCCACTCACCATGCATAGGGTGTATTCCCTACACACTGATGTTGGGCTTGGCCATATGACCTATTTTGACAACTGAATGTTAATAGACATGAAACAAGCAAAGGCTTGAAATGTCCTTGTATGGTTGGGCTTTTCCTTTGCACTTCCACCATTACCATTAGAGAAACCTGTCCTAGGAGAACTTCTGAGAGACATGTAGAAGAGAGTTGCTCCAACTGACCTATGACCTGCAGGTTGAAGCGGAGCTACCACAGCTACCTGCATAGCCATTTCATGCCACTGAGTTCTGGGGCAGTTTGTTATGCAGCAATAGCTGACTGATGCAATTATTTTAATATAAAGTATAAACACTGATAGTCCTGATATGTTCATTAATTCAACTAATATTTATTTGGTAGTTACTGTAGTGGGCCCTAGAAATAAACTTACAAATAAGATATGCACAACCTTGTTGTCATGGCCTAGTGGGGGAAAGAAGTATTTCAATAAAGTA